TTATAAAAGACTAAATAAAACAAAAATATTGGTGGTAATTTTTGACTGTGTAACTTTACAAACAGCACCACGTACAGAGGATGGTTTAAAAAAGGGGAATCTGCTTCCTGAATTCCATCAAACCTCCTTCTTTGGTGCCTTAACAGCCTTACAGGCCATATTTACCATACAAATCCTAATCCTATTTGAAATTACTCTTACTTTTATCAGATTAGGAACACTCTAGAGATCCAAATTTAAATAGTGCCAGAACTCATATACAGCATAATGAAATTATTTTAACTAGTAATAATCTAAAATAATTGGACCTCTTTGTCAACAGGTTCAGTTATGGACAGTTGTTATAATTCCTTTCTTAGGCACAAGTTAAACTGGACCATGTAAAAATGAAAGCTTTGTAGAAGAGGAATCCTGGAGCAACTCTCCAGTCTGTGGTAGATGAGTGACAGTCGGGTTGTTTTTCCTTTGTCGTGTATCAATCCTAACAGCTTCACTCTCACTCCATCAACTGCTCCAGGTTTCCATCAGATGTGTTTGAGCAATTTCCACAACCGCTTCAGCACCATGCAGGTCTTCCTCAGCTTCGGGGTTTATTAYGACAATTACCAAGATCCGTCCAAGAGCAAAGAAGAGGAGGAGAGGAAGAAGGAGGAGCTCAGCAAAGACCTGAACAACACATTAGACATCATCCAGGTGAACCTGCTGACCTTACATTCTTTGTTCATAGAGTTGAACACATATAAGTACATTTTATACTGGATTATTTATTATAATTCATTTGTAAATATTTTTACTTGATACAATATCACTTAAACACTTCATTAATCTGTACAATATTTCACTCTGCGCAATAAATATTCAAAACTATGAACAACCTAAAAATGATACACACATTTTTAGATACGCACACGCAAACACACACTCACAGCTGGTAATGTAATTATAATAGTATTAAAAAATGGTGCAGATTTGCCAGTCTTCCTGTCTAAAGAGTAACCATCAATGCACCGCCCATGGTACATTCCCAGTTTATGGTTAGCTCCGCCCTCTTTACAGCCTGACCCACACTACCAGGGACTTTGAATTTGCATCACAGTCTGTTCAAACAGTTTAATTGGTTGTCTTCTTTCAGGTGACACCTTTTATGACCAACTCGGTTTATCTCTCCAGAGCACAAAATGTGTGGCAAGCCCCTCATGTCCCACCTGTCCTTGGAACACCTGATTSATTGACTAGAATCGGCCAATCAGCTCTGAGCTTCATTCGGACACCACAGCTGTTTAGCCAATCAGGTTACCTTTTATTCCATGTACAGATTTGGAAATGAAATATTATTAATAATAATAGAAACTAGAGAACTGAAACCTGTGAAAATGCTTCCTGCTGAAAACTTRAATGGGTTGAACTTTTATAGCACCTTATCAAGTCCTATTGGACCTCAATGTGCTTTACTCTTCAGATATTCACCCATCCACACACACACATTCGCACACTGATGGTGGTAAGCTACACTGTAGCCACGGCTGCTCTGGGACACACTGACAGAGGCGGCGCTGCTGTGCACCAGTGGTGTTGGTGCACGGCACTGACCACCATCAGTATGTAAGAAAATTTGTGTTCAATAAACTGAAGTCGATATTAAAAACACCATTGTTAAATAAAATGATTTGTAGAAGGAATCAAACCATAAAACACCAGAATTCTGGATCTGAGTCAGGTTTAATGTCTCTTGAGCTGACAGGAAACCAACACTGGTGAAAAACCAGGAAGTTCATGTATTTATACATCGTCTTCAATGCCTGAGTTCGCCCCCTACTGACCTACGGCTGAATCACAGGCATTCAGACAAAACCCTCATCTACTGTTATCACAATGTTTAATTATGTGTTGTCACAGATATTTTGGACATGCAACTAATCTATTATCAATCAAAACAAAATAGATTAAACATTGTCACTTTACAAAAAGGTAAACCTAAAAATATAGTGTTGTGCTTTTAACATCAGTACTAACCTCTAATAACTTTAAATTTCTTCAAGTAGGCAGGACAGGTGAAGCGTCTTGCCCAAGGACACAACAACTGAAGCAGCTGGACAGGGGATCGAACCAGGGACCTTCTGGTTCCAGGACGACTCCCCTAACCACTCCACCACATCTGCCCAACAAAGCTGCAGAAAATGATCTGAAAATATTTTATGACAAAAGTTTTATTGCAAGTTCAAGTTGAAAAGCTGAAAGAAGCATTAAAAAGCCCCACACTCCAAAWAAATAAATAAATAAATAAAACAGTAAAAAGAAGCAAAAATATAACTTAGTATTGCAGAAAAAGCTTAAAGCTAAAAGTAAAAATAGCTGAATATAGCAGAAAGCAACTGTAAAAAGCTTAAATAGCTAAAATTAGCAGAAAGAAGCACAACAAAGAAGAAATTTGTAGAAGAATAGCAGAAAGGAGCAGAATGTTAGCTGAAATGGCAGAAAAAGCTAACGTTAGCAACAAAGTAGCTAAAATCAGCACAAGGAAGTTAAAATGAGCATAAGCAGAACAAAATGTGTTTACAAGCATTTTCTCTGGGTCCCGTTTTCCTCCCACAGTCCAAAAACTTGCTTTTTCAGGGTGAAAAAGTGATCTGTAATTTCTATGGGATTTGTCTGGTTAAATAGATAAATAAATGATCATATGTGTTTTTATATAAGTAAAGCTCTGATTCAGTATAATAAATATTTTTAGCTGTAATGTTTTATTTTGTTTCTTTTTTTCAGACTGCAACATACAAAGTAGAGAACCGTGTCTTCCACATGTTCCGTTACTACAGCTTCAGCCGCATGAGGAAGAGTGCAGACTACTTCCTGTTGCAGTTCAACTCACAGTACATCACCTGGTGGTCCACAGCCCTCAGTCTGCTCATCATCACCTCAGGTTACCTACAGCTCCTCTTCCTCAAAAGCCTGTTTGTGAGCAAGCCGTGCACAGAGGACGAGAAGCCCCGATGCTGACAGAGTCATCGTCAACTCTTGTCTGGATGTTCAGGAGCAGCAACCAGAAAACACACACAAGAAATCTACACG